ATCCATCAGAGTCTTAATACACTTATTTTCCTGTTCCAACTCAGACTTTTTGTCTTTGCTCTTGCCCAGATTCCTCACACAAGACAACCAGGAACAGAGCGACACAGCACCTACTGAAAAGCCTGTAGAAACAGAAATTCCTTGTGCGAGTTTGAGCCTCAGCGTTGCTCATTTGATTGTGTTTGATTGTAACTTTGTTTTGCTGCTGCATGGAGCAGCACTTTAGTGGAACTGTGACCGGCGTTTCTTAGAGAAAAGAAAGGAGAACAAGTGTGTAGACCGTGGTTGTGGTAGTCTGTTTGTCATTGTTAAGTTTAGACTTTCTTGAAAAGAGGCTAGGCTCCTGAACTGTTAGCTACTGTTTGTATTGATTTGGTACAGATGCCCCAACCCTGCCAGTTTTTTCATTATGAACTGAGAAATATACAGAAGATTTGTTCAAAGACACATGCACCTTCTCTCCAAAACCCCCTTACCCTCTGGAGTACAGTGACCTTACTGAGGTGAAGGCGCATTTCTGGTGCATTTCTTATGCACATATTTTCAGTTTTTGGTTACCTATGGAATCCCAATGTGTTTCAAACTCTCTAAGAAGACTAATGTGAAAAATAAAAAAGGGATTTGATTAGAGGTCACAATAATGTGAGGTATTAAATGGACCTCCAGTTACTATCTGAATGTAGAGCAGCTCCACATTGCTACTTTTTATCTTTTAAACATCCTGAACAGATATCATTGTGCCAATTTTCAAACAAAAGCCAGAAAACAAAAAAATACGTTTTGTAACATTTTTATAATTGAGATGACATTGTTAGCTATTATTTCATGTTTGAAATTGTAAATAAGAAGTATTACTATTTAAAAATGTTTGAAATGTCTCATTTTATAAAATATACATTATATTAATATTTGTTTAGCTGAATTTAAAACAAACAAAAAAAAAAACAACTAAAGTTTTATGTATGAGATTTGAATAAAAATTTGTTAATGTTAAATGACTGTTTGATTCATTTTTCTTTGCATTCCTTTATCTGCTTTCTGGATGTTACCACAGAAGGATTCCTGTGGTTGCATTAAAGTTCCAGTTCATTTCATCTTTACACAGTCCTTATACCTCATAATCTAGATTATTTCTTGTCATCTTAAATGAGATTAAGGTTTTTAAATCAAATCTGTGCCTTATATCAAATAACGTACCACATGTAGCAGTCTATTCCAATAGGTACTGTATTAGGAGGTTTTGTATTATCTTTAGGAAACCTTTTATGTCTACTTTGGGTCTGTGTCTAACAAAGATGGATTGGTATAGCTTGTTTGCACTAGTTCTAACTTTAACAGTGTGTTTTATTTATCCATTTTTACTACCTATCCCACTTTGCATATGTGGCTCTTGTATTTTAAGTTGATTATTTCAGTTTTTTATTTGATTTATGTTCTGACTTATAGACATTGTCAGTATTATTTGAAATGTAATTGTTTCTTGATCTTTCTATTATTCTTTTTGAAAAGCATTTTTTTTTATGTAGGTTATTTAAATTAAAGTGCATTCTAAGCAGAGGTATTGACTAGCTAATGATATTTGATTTACTATTTAAAATGATGTAATAAGAGAGAACAGAATATAAAGTTCACGCAAAATCTGGTATTTTAAATACTAAAATAATACAAAATAATAACAGAAAAAAAGATTAGGCAACAAGATACTGTTTCCATATTTTTTCTTCCATTATAAACCAAGTCATACACAACAAAATATACATGTTAAAAACTGTGAAGTAGCTCCATTGAAAATATCTGTTTCAAGGTCATGTTTGGAACATTTTCTCTCTCTGGACTTGCCCAAGTTTTCATCTCCTGGTCCTTCCATAACATTACGGAACATGGTGACAGCAGGAAATAAACAAAGGGGACCTGTCCTGTTGTTACACAAGCAACAGGCATAATGAAACCCCCTCTGTTTTCCAGTCCTGAAGCCGACATAAGAAGACAGTGTTTTAGAAAGATATTTTTTGTTTTAGATATTTAAGGTTGGTTCTAATTTTATTAGAAAAGATTATACTGACTCTAAAACAAACATATGTTTCACCCTCTTTAGATATTTTCCCCATAGATGTCTGTCAGCAAGCATTCTCTTCATTGGAAGATGCAAAAAATATATGGTAGATGACGTTATCCTTATTGACTGCTGTCTTCAACAGGTTTCAGTCCTGGACCAATCCCCACCTCAGTCCAAACAGGTTAGCCATTTCTCAAACAAAAACAACTTAATTAATTCACTATCCTTGTCCTCATGATTTTTACACACAGACATCTGGGAGCAAGTTGCATTTAACATGAGTTATTAGGGTCAGAGGTTAAATGCAGATGAAGATTGTCAGTTTTGTCTTGTTTTTTTTTTTACCCCATATTTTAAGTCACCATTTCCATCTCAGTTTATGTATATGTGTGCAGTGGTCTTGTACTCTTGATTTAGTGAAAGATGTTCAAATGTGTGAGTACGGAAGGGCACAAAATTGTGTTAGTCTAATTCTGTTACAGAAAGCTCAGCAAGAGGCTTTAATAAAAGTGAAATGACTTTAATTGTTACCTTGCTCTCCAGCAAAGTTTCCATGGGATCTAATGACATTTTTTCCGATTGTTAGGCATAATTACTGACCATGCAAAGAGAAAGAACAGAATAGCGGTTGTTTACTTATTGATGTCAAGCCTGAGGTGAGGACACTGCTTATAGAAAGAGGTTAAGTGGCCTGGATCATAATATCGTCTCCTGCCTCGGATACTATCTCTGCCTGATAAGATAGCTGACACATTTATATCTCCGCCTCCTCACTCTCGCTCTGTTGCACACCACAGGTGAAGAGGATAGAGTTGCACTGACCTCCTTTGATACAACTTCACAAAGTATTGTTGTCCAAGCCAGTTTTTACCTCTTCCTGTTCCATGCCTTCCACCTCCTTTTAGCTCACTAGCCTGTTTAGAGAGCTCATACTTAGGATTTAATTGTTTTATCTCCTCTACCAACTGGTTTGATTTTGTCTATTTTGCTCGCTGTAGCTTAGTCCCTGAAAGGGTTGGTTTGCTTATATCTACTGTAGCACTACTTACTGTTTGAGGACAGACAGCAAAATCTGCCCAAGTTACTTCTTAAAACAGGTAGTATCTGATTTATCTATGCAACTGTAGTAGGAGTTCAAAATATTGTGTTAAATTCTGCTTTGCACAACTCCTTTCAAAGTTATTAATATTCTTTGTGCATCATCTTATTTGATGCATTACAATCTCCCCCTTCAAAATATTTTATTCGAATATTATGTGATGGAGTTGACTAACATAAATAAGAGCTAATTGTGAGTTGAAAGGACAAATATATTTTAAAAATAATAAAAAAAAAAACAGAAAAAACTTTCCTGTATTTTGCTTCTTTCATTTTTCCATTAAATTTGACCATCCTCCAAAGTCAAAAGCATGGTACTGGTGCTATTTTTTTTTTTTAACACTAGGTAGAAAAAGCCATTGTGTTTTAGAGAAATGTGCATTGTCAGCTTTCTGACTAACAGCATTCTATATGAACGCCATGTTTTCTTTCACCAGAGCTCCTATCACATGTTTGTTGGCTCTCCTATACCTGGCCTGTTTTTGACTGCATAAAGTGATTTCTCTAAGCTCTTTCCTAACAATAGATTGTGTTTAAGCAATATTTAAATTGACTGGCATGTTTTAGTAGTTTTGCAGGTTTGTCATACATACTCTTTCCATTTTCTGATTTTTCATGGAATAGTACTTTAATGTTTGGGATAGTGTTTTGCAACCTAAACCTGTTTGAAATTGTCTTTAACTTCAACTTTTTAATGAACCTTTAATGAATATTTAATGAAATATCAGCTGTGCTGCTGCCATCAACACCTTTGTTTACAGATGTTGGAGATTGGCCTGTTTTTCAGTGTAGTCCTGTTTCTCTGACTCTGACTAGCTGGATGTGTGCTCTCCTCATCCTCTGGCATTAGAGTTGGCTTGGAGCTCGTCTGCCTGGCTGTGTGTTTCCTGGACAGGGCCACATTTTACAGTTGCCTTTTGTATTTCTGCTTCTTTCTGTATGTCTGCTTCTTTTTAATTGAACCCCAGTCGGCCTTGGCATATGGCCGCTCACACTGAGTCTGATTCTGCTGGAGGTTTCTTCCTGTTAAAGGTAGTTTTTCCTCTCCACTGTTGCTACAAGCATGCTTATTGTGAGAGATTGCCTTTGAGTCAATGAGTTGATGCAGTCAACTGGTTTTCCTTAGATAGAAAACTTTAAATCAATTTGACTATAAGATCTGGTGGAATTGTAAAATGCCTTGAGATGACATGTGTTGTGAATTGGCGCTCTATAAATAAACTGAATTTAATTAATTATAGGCATACCTGTAGTTTATTAGCTGAGTTCCTTATTATGGTTTCTCCTTATAAATGACATCCACCTAATACATTGTAATCTGTTTGGCGATTTCTCAGGGCACTTTATTGCTCTTAGTTTTCTTTAAAGATATATAACAAAGCGATAAATGAAAACACATTGAGTATTTTTTAAATGCTTATTTTTAAATCTTACAACATTCTCCTCCTACAGCCTCTCAATTATGCCCTAATTTGTTTTGTTCTATTTCTGATGGCGTAATATATCTAAATCCCAATTAATTGTAAAAAGGTTGAATGAGGTGCCAAACAAATCTGACCTAGATATTCCTGCATAGTTAAGCTGTTGGTTAGGAAAACAGGATAAACCAACATAACTACCAACCACAAGAACGGCAAACACTTCTTGTTTGGGTTCACTGTTTCTGGTCTCCAATTAAAGCTCTTGTGTAGAGCGCATTTCATTTCCGACCCCTGCTTGGCTTTCATGAAACTAAACTCCAGGGCTGATAAATAATACATACCCTGTGCGGTGCTGGCTGATCACTGGAGCTTTGTCAGCTGTATAAGTGGTGAAAGGCGACATAATCTTCCCACATTAAGATCTGGACTGAGATTGAGACACATATTAAGGACCTGGAGACGCACTCAGTTGGAAGACAACTTAAGTTTCCTAGAAGCAGCATGTTAAATCCCCAGCAGCAAGGTGAGCTCCTCCTGCATGATCACCCTCCAGTATTTGGGAAGCCGTGGTACTGGCAGCGCAGCAGCAGCACCATGGAGAGCACCCGCAGCCTGGCACTGGTCATAATGGAGATGCGCGACGAGATCAAGAAGCTGGAGGAGGAGAACCGAGAGCTGCGAGGGGAATGTGGTCAGCATTCAGCAACAGGAGGAGAAGCCAGCAAGGAGTCCATCCCTGTAAAAAAGGAAATATTGGAAAATCCTTATGGCAACCTGAGAAGGAATACGTCTGCGCCCGTCCTAGAGGGACAATACAAGGGTAGGGGCTTTAAGTTTTAGGCAAAAGTGCTTTGTAAACATCCAAAGTTTGGTTCTTTGAATTTTAATAGTGCATTAGAATATCTTAAATACTATTTTTAGTATTTATTCTTTCATTTACTTCCCGATGTATGCTATCTATGCAGGCAGACACAAAAATCAATTTAGGTTTGGCCATATCCTGGGCCATTCTTAGCTATGCATATGATTTGATCTTGAATATTTCCCAGTAGCTCTAGCTAAGTTTATCTCTTGTCTGAAGGAGAAGTTTTCACAGCTTCAAGCCATTAACAGGTTTCCACCCCTATTTGGATGCAGCTGTGTGTAAAATTTTAATTTATTCCCCTTTTTAGCAAAAGTGTAAAGTAAAAGTGTTATCGAGCCAGAGTGTATTTCACAAGAAAATGTCTAATGGCTTTGTTACAACCGCATCTTTTTCCTCTTCACATGCTTCCATAATTACCCAATAGGTGAAGAGCACAGTTAAAAGTGCTTAAAAGTGAACTGTGAATCTCTGCAGATATTTCAGTGTAATCAATGTCATGTTGGGATTTTTTTAACCACCAAAAATCTGTTAATTTACCTCAGATTTATTTATCTTACAAACATGGTAATAGTCCCAATGTCTTTAAAACAAAAAAAATCATTGACACGTGGCTGTATAACTATTGGTTTGAAGTAGAAAAAAAAATAAAATAAAAAAGTGCTTACCGCAATAGTTACCTTTTCTTCTTGTTTTTTTCTTTGCTACAAGAAAATACTGCCATGACTGTACGAAGGTACTCCACAACCTCCAAACCCCCTGAACTGACAGAAAGAGATCGTAGAATTGACAAGAGCCTACAAAGTAACTCAGGTTGGGACAGACTACATGAAGACGTGTTTGGAGAAGAAGAGGATACCAACAGCCAGCACTCTCTGAAGGATTTCATCCATAAAAACAGGTACAAAGCCCATCCACAAGAGTTGCATGAAAAGCCACAACCATGTTGTGGCTACATTGGAATGATTCTTGTGATTTTTCTTTTCTTTTAGAGCCAAAGTAAAGACTGTGACCTTCCTTCTGCCAGTTGATGATATTTACACCAGCCGGCCTGTTCTGACCAAACACCAAGAGGAGTCCAAATTCACTGGCCTGGCTTCAATAGCCGAGACCGATTCTTGAAAAACACTTAAAAATCTTGGGACGCATCACTGGTAGAGATTGAAAGTACAAACTGGAACTCTGCAGCCTCATTTTTTTTCTTGCCCTCCTTAACTAGGTCACTTTAGATTGGGCTCCTAATGAGTAAGTAAGCAAACCGATTTTTATCACACCTGACCAAGAAACTGGAGTCTCTGATTACAGGTGTTATTTTCATTTGGCCATGGCAATCTATGCCTTGTCAACAGTGATGAGACACGGGCCCCACTGCAGAAAGGATCAGGTTTCCAGACTCCTCTCCCGGCCTGGGCTGTGGTTTCAGGGTGACACGTGTGGCAGTCCTTTCAGACTCAGCTGTGGTTGCTAACTCAGGCCATGGAAGTAATGTCCCATTTTTTATTTATTTATTCCTTTTTTCTTTACAAAGTAAACTTAAAACATATAGCCAAGATAAACTGTGACTCCTATATTTCATTGTTCCTAAAGATTTGCTATAACCCACCTAAATTTGAAAGGCTTAAACGGGTCAGCAGCAAATTGTGTCCATGATCAGGAAGCTTTTTCAAAAATAACTTATGCATATTATCCGAATTTTACAATTTAAAATCTAAAAATAAAATATAAAATGATTGGTTTCCTTAAAAAAACTGAGTCACATGTTTTTTTTTCTAAATCAGAATATTTTTGTTGTTAGTATAAATAAGGATTTTTAATGTTCCTTAATGTGTATGTCTTTCACTGAAATTAGAACTTTACAAAGTATTTAGATTCTAGTTGTTTAAAAAACAAGAGGTTTATATTAGGCTCAAACCTGAACATATTGCTATGTGGTTTTTGTAGGATATAGTCTTCTATTATAAGACACAACAGTTTGTGATATCAAAGAAATTCTGCTTTGGTTTAAAGACATTTTCTATATCTAAAGGAATATACACTATGAATTCTGTTAGAGTATTTGCTAGAATGTCTGGTGAATAACCTTGGAGTAAATATATCATCACATCTAATTAAAAAAATAGTACAAGTTGGCCTAGTCAAGTTTCTTGTTACGGTGGCTGGATTTAGTAAAGTCCATTTTACATATGGTCTTACTGAAGCAAGTAATCAGAACAGGTCCAATCCAATATATTTATCTATTAGACAAAAAATAATAATTTGGGGGACAAAGATACATGGTTATCTAAATACTTTGCAAATAAAAATGGATAAATCAGTGACAGCTTGGATTGATACTGAATGTTAGTCCTGGTACTGAAAATTAAGACACTGAAAATCTAAACACTGAAATTTCAAACATGGAAAATGCAATAACTGGAAATTAAATGTGATTTTGGCCGCTGGCGGGTGGGGCTAGTTTACTATGCTACCAGCTAAGCTCTAATAAGGTTTTTTTTTTTTTTATTCACTGGAGTAAATTCTTAAACAACATAAAGACAGCAGTCATTACAGAAATGGTCTTTAAATAAGACATAAATAGGCCCAGTAATAAAGCAATGTGTATAAATTTACTTGGGCTTTGGCATTTCATCAATCATTCTAAAAAAAGGATTTTTTTAAGAGGTTGATTCAGGGCAGGCTTTTAAAAGCTGCTGCATCACTTTTTTCCCCATCAAAAGACTATATTTTAAAATAGACCCCCCTCCCCCCCAAAAAAATATTAATTAATTAATTAATTAATAAACAACAAACAAATAGCTAATTTTCATTTTATTTAAATAATCTGATGGAAACGTTAAATCCTGTATTTTCTACAAAAAACAGGGACTGGATCAATGACCAACCTCAATACCAAAGAAAACAAAAAGAAAAAGGTAAATATTGTTTCATCTGACTTAGGTTAACTTTTACCAAATATTATTAAAGAGTGAAACAAAATCATTTTAGATTGTTTGTGAATGGAATATGAATGTATTTTATTATTCATCAGTAAACAAAATTGGGTGCTCCATAAAAAAATTAAAAGGCTAATTTAGAAATATACAAAGATAGGAAAAAAGGTATTTAAAAAGAAAACATAAGAATAGGAGACTGTAGAAGGAAAAAAAAAAAACTGTCACTCTGAATGACCGCTATTGTCATTAACAAAACAACTTTGAGATAACCCTAAACATGCTCATCTCACTTAATATTTCCAAAAAGAAAATACATATTGTTCAGCAAGATTTTAACATTATAAAGTGTAATTTGTTTAAGATTTGCCTGATAACACCCTTCAGTTTGCCAAAAAAAAAATCTTGAACCAAACTTTTTTGACTTTTTAACCTTTTGTCCAAATAACTAGAAGTAGGGCTGCAACTAACGATTATTTAGCAAATCGATTAATCTGTTGATTATTTTTTCGATTGATCAATTAATAATGATTAATTAAAGAAGACTTTGAGCGAAACTTAACCAGGTGAAACTTAAAGTTTTCCACTTCAGTTCTGGATAGAGTATAATGACAGATGAAAAGTTTTTGATCTTAAATGCAAAATGTTATGTTTTTTTTTTTACAATTTTGGTACAAATGCTGCGAAAGGTGGTTTTCTCTGTCAACTAAAGACATGTTTTAAAGTCTCTATACTCCATCTAACGATTGATTACTAAATTAGTTGATTATTTAATTAATCGATAAATCCGATTAATTGTTTCAGCCTTAATGGAAGGAATCGCTTTTTTAAAAAGCATAATCCTAAAAGCTTTTATAAAGAGTTGTAGTTGTAAGTTTTTTTTAAATCTGGGTCACTAGGAAGGATTTTTATATTATTTTTGAAAACTTAGCATTTGTCTAGGAAAATTGAAAATGCAGATTCTTTAATCTCCTAAAGAGATTTTTTTTTTTTTTTTGGCACAACTCTGAAAACCAAGAACTTCTTGAAATGTCTTAATTTGTCAAGAAATAACTTAATATTCTGAAAATGTTTAAAACACTGCTATTATGTCTCCTCTCTTCCTGAGAAGTCAGAACTGTCTTCCATCAAATGAATGAGTCAAAAGAATACCAGTAAATCAGAACTGAAATGAAAACTAGTTATACCCTCTGCTGGTCAGAGGTGGAAGTTAAGGAAGATGCCAGAGGAATAAACTCCTCTCAACAGTAATTCTAGATTTTAAATCAACGGTCCACTGAAAAAAAAAAAAAAAAAATCCATCAAATTTACTTTAAAAAAAAAAGTGAAAAAGCTAAAACAAATACAAAACAAAATTGATAAAGTAAAAAAATACAGCATGCAGTTTAAAAGCATATTTATCAGTAACCAAAATGAATCATGTGACAATGGTATATGGTGTGCTAAATCAGAGCTTATGTTTGGTACTGATGTTAAACCCAAGTAAACTCCGTTCTGTTTAGAAATCCAGGGGAATGTGTTGCAAACAGCCATTTGTCTAAATTTAAAAATGTCTCACTTTTAAGCGTTTAAACACCAAAGCAACATGTATAATATACTGGTTAAATAGTACTTTGTTTGTCACTGATAAATGAGATAAGACCCAACAGAACAGCCAGTAAACTGTTAATACCATTAACTGTTTTACAGTGCATCAATGGCAGCCACATCAAAAATTGATCTAAGGGCTACATGAAAGCCTCCAATTTTCCCTGTTAGACGATTCTGTTCCGGAACTGTCTAGTTTCATTTTTGACTAAGAGCTATGTAACAATTAAAGGCACCAACCATAAACAAAATGGAAAGCAATGGCTGTGTGTGCACTGTTTAATAATAAAGCAGTATTATGAGGTAGGGTAAGAGGTGAGATTTAGGTCCGTAAAGAGGCCTGCAGAGCTTTCATGTCCTTCAGCAGCCTCAGGTTTTTTTTGCTTCTCTCTCCTGGCTGAGCTTTAGTTGATGTTGCAGGGCGCCCCCTGGTGACAGGTCTTTCTTCTGTTCGACTGCTTTTTCTAGATTTAACCTCCTTTCTTAACTTTGTAATCTGCGGCACAAAGAAGAAGACATTCAGATGACACTAACAAAAACTTTGAATAGAATAATAGTCATTTCTCACCTGTGATTTACAGTTACAGAGCTTACTGATCTGCTCTCCTTTCCTCTCCATTCTCAACAAAAGCCTCTCCTGCTCCCTTTGAAGCTTTTTTCTTTCCTCTTCAGAGATGCTCTCCTCCGCCTGCCTCATCAACTCAGCCTGCTGCCTATAATATATAAATATAGAGTGACCCTTTGTATTTTACCAAACACAAATGCAAACCAAGTACATTTGCAAGCTAGCTCACAAACTCATGAAGCGCAGCTCCTCCTGTAGGGCTTGTAGCAGCTCAGATAGCTCCTCTCCACCAGTGGATGATGAGGTAGATGAACTTTCTGAATGGATGCTTGTTTCAGAGCGATTTGCATCGAGAGACAGGACATGTCTGTTGCAGAGATGAGGCTGATGTCGTTTTAGAAGGGACAATACTGCCTGAACGTTGGCTCTGACAGAGTGGCTGCGGTCCACTGACTGGGAACCAAGAGAGTTAAAGACAAACAGTCAAGCGCAGGGTGCGACAATTTCGATCATTTCATTCTAATCGTGAGCATGTATAAGTGTAGAAGGTACCGTTCCAGTGACAAATGGTACATCTTTTAGGCTCAGTCGATAGTGAGGTTCTGTGTATTTTCTAGAAGACCTCTGTGAAGAAACATTAAATGATTAGGAAAAAACAGAAAAAAGTCAGTACTGCAACTAAACATATGTTGTAACGTCAGGTAATCAAGTGACCTATCTTTTTAGCTACAAGCTGAAGTTATTGCAAAAAGGCCAACATATGATGGCTGAAGTGTTGCTTTGGATAATGGCTGGTTAAAAATGTTGGTTTTAAAAGCTTAAAGAAACCCTTTATTGCGCAGTAATTGAGGTGAGATTTGCACCGCGCAGAATGGAAGAGAGAGTTGTAGTTAGCATGCAAATCCATCCATGAGTGTAGAAGCAAGAACTTTTTCACTGAAAGGTTGCAGTAAAGTGTGGCATCAAAGGATTCTTGAAAAACAAGCTCATTACCTTTGAGCTGGACTTCTTCTCTTTGGATTGTCTGACAGACTGATGTGGGGAAACTGACTGCAACAGGATCCTGTTGGCCTCCAAACCTGTCTGTAGCTGAAGTTTGTAAAAGAAAACATTAAATAAACAAAAAAGTAAAAACAAACATATGAAAAGTAAGTGACATTGTTTTTATGTGTGAAAAGAAGGTTAGCTTGTCATTAAAAAAAGAAATATCTGCTTTCTTTACAATCCAAAGAGCATTTTTAAATTGAGTCCAGCGAATAAAACTCATTTGGAGCCACAAACATTACATGACATTTTTTTAAAGAGAGAAAAAAAGAACTTATATTTAAGAAATACCTACCAAAGATTTGTCCTTTTTTAAAACATTCACCATGCTTTTTACATTTTAAGGTTTTGAAATTGAGGAAAAAACTGGTGAAAAGAAAATAAATACGATTCCAATCGGTTGCTAAAAGTTTTTTAAATTCTGTTAAAAAACCCACATTTTTTCCCACTGAAAAAAAATAATCTGTTCCATTTAGAGCCAATTAATTTAGGAACTTCAACACAACTAGTCGGTGGAGAAAATGCTCATCAGAATATTTCCCGGCATTTTTTAATATATATACTTTGGGTTTCCCCAAAGATTAGCTGGCTTTTCATCATTTTTTTGTTGCCAAAGTGATGAAGAGCCATTTTCAAGTGTCTAAAGAGCCACTTTTGGCTCCAGAAACAAAGGTTGCAGACCTTTGCTAGAGGGTCAAAATAATAAAATTCTAAAAGAACAAGAAAGTAATCAAATATTACTACCTGGTTGGCCTTTTCCTGAATGAGCCTCCTTTGATGTTCCTCCTCTAACAGCTTTCTCTCCAACTCACAGATCTTCATCTGAAATGCAAAACAGTCACCATCACTATGTAGCTGATAATAAGATGTTTGGTAACTTTCTCATAAAACTAAGGTCTATCTCAGGGGTAACCAATTAAAAATCAGCGGGGTCCGAATAAAGAAAATCATAAACCAGTAAAGGTCCGGAGACATTTTTCATTATAATCAGTTACTTTAAACAGAATTTAACACTGAAATAAAATGAGGTGTTTATGCATCCATGTTATACATTGGATTTTTAAATAAATAAATTTTTCCACTTTAAGATCTAAAGAGTTTTTTGAAATAGAGAACAATAATCTTTCAGTTTGGTATATAGACAATTTCCTGATTTACATATTTTATAAAACACCTGAACTTTTTTTTTTCTTTATGGATTAATGAGAGCAGTGGTCTTTAGGCTGCCCTGCAAGGCTCTAAACCTGGGTTTGAATGGAGACAAAGCCATTCTCAAGTCATTCCAGGCTCATTTGTGAGCTTATATACCTATTCCCAAAAACTAAGACCGTTTAATTAAATGATTGGATGCAAACTATTAGTACTTTAACATACCAGGAAACAGATTTCTCATCTCGATCAAAATATTTATTTTATACTAAGAGGCTTAAAAGTTTCATCAAATCCAGTTAAAACGCCCAAGAGCGCCTCTCATAACTTCAAAAGAAACTTCTCATCTCAGACAAATGAGGAGATTCTGAGTTTGGAAGCA